GAGTTGACCGGTTTGACTTGTTGACTTTGTTTGACTTTGACTTGACCGAAATTTGACGGTTGTCACAGCGCGACGTACATACCTGTACGCCCAACATACTCACCAACCATGGCCATCTTCCCAGATTCATCACTTAATCCATTAAGACTTGGATCCAAACTCAGATCTGACTTTCCCAAGGTGGTTAATCACATAAAGTTGTCAGCTTTATGTGCATGAATGGCTAAATGGGACTCTAGAGCTCAAAAGAGCTTAATACTTGACTTAATACATGCATGGAACCAAAACCAACATAAAGTTTACACCTTTATGCCCAAGGAACCCATGATATATCCAGATCTACAATTTCAAGCTTCAAAAACGACTTTAACTATCTTCAACCAAAAGGGTCAAAATGACCAAAAATGAACGAAGAAGAAGATCCATGAAATGAAAAGGCAAAGTTTGGACTTTATACCTCCCAAGCTACCAAAAGGAGATGCAAATGTTGGATCTCAAAGCTTTCCTTTAAAAAAGAAGTCTTCAAGTTTCTCTTTCTTCTTCTAGATCCACAAAATGAACACCAAATTCTCACCAAAGGCTCAAACACCCAACAATGGAGGCTAAGACCCCTTTTTAGGGTTTTTGGGGCTTTAGAGACTGATAAGGAGGCCAACCCTAAGGAATAAGGATGTTTAAATAGGGTACACATGATCAAAATTTAGGGTTAAAGCACCCCTCGTACGCCCAACGTACTCCTCGTACGCCCATCGTATGAGGCCAAGGTTCGCGACCCTTCCTTTTGGGTACGCTAAGCATACACCAATGTACGCCCAACGTACTGCCCTTAGCACTAGTACGACCCACGTAGTTCCTATGTACGCCCTGCGTACTAGGGTTTCTTCTTACACCCTGAAAACTCCGACGACCATAAATTCTTCATTATAAACTTAATTTCGACAATCCTTATATCCATGAAAAGGTCACAAGAAGCTCCATGCTTTAATCAACTCATACTTGCCTTACAATTTCCCTAACAAACATCCCATTCCCATAAGAGCCCGAGTTGACATATTACCAAAATACCCTTTGGCTCCAAAACACAACCGAACACTTGGATCATCTAAAATACCTCACCTGCACCCAAAAGGAAACGATTCGGGACAGGGCGTTACATGAGACTTTCGCTGGTTTTATGATTCAAATCTAGTCAGGACAGGGCGTTACATGAGACTTTCGTGCTCATTCCGACACCACCCAAGAGCTTATACGGCTTTGATGGCTTCTATATGATATGTGTGTCTTTCAGTTATCACCTATGGTTATTTTGTATGACAAACGAAGTTCCATTCAAATTGACCACAATAATATTTTCACAAACACATCAAGACTATGTGTCATTTTGTTCGACATCATGTTGACACCACTTGTCTATTATTCATATCCACCATTGATTAGACTAAAAATATCTTCACCAAAACTCTCTAACCAAACTACTATAATCTCATACTCTACAACCTTAATTTGGTCTTCCATCAACTTTATTATCTTCGAGGTGTTAGCATTTGTATACATTTCTATATACACCTCCTATTTAACTATCTCATTCTAGATTAATATATGTCTCCTTTATGTATTTTTGGTTGTAAATTATGGTTTTGATTAATAGAATCTCATTTTCATATGAAAGCTATCATTCATAAATCATAAAATAAAAACAAAAGTAAATATAATTGCTTTTTTGGTAATGAATTACTTAAAATGGAAAGAATTTAGAAAAAAATTGCAAGAAAAAAGATTTGTATTGCCGAGTACATTGTCTTCCCCCCATCCCACTTCCGGTGCTCTCTCATACCTCCATTTCATATTTTCACCCACCGCCACTCTCTTTCTCTGTTTTTCGTTTTTCCCAATCTCGCTCATGCGAGAATCTTCAATCTTTCCACCCCATTTTTCATCATCAGCCACTTCACTAACATAATTCACAAAGAAAACCCAATTCCAGGGCTACAAGATTTTCAGGATCTGTTTATTACCTTTCCTAGATTTCTATGTTTCCCAATTCGGAAACATGACCTACTGCGATTGATTTGATTTTCAAAACCGAGAAAAACAACATGTACGAGATTGATTGATATGAAAGGGGCTCGTTTCTCTCGTCTTTAATAATAGGTTGTTAGGGTTAAGTGATCGTTGTGGGGTTAGATATTCAATTTGAGATCTGGATGATAGATTTTGAATTCAAGATTGGATAAAGAAATTAATCGAGACTAGATGGATATGGATTATCATGGCGATATGGGTCGTCTTGACCCCGAATTGTTACAGCTAAATGAAGTGTCTTCTTTGGCTATCAAGTCAAATTCTTATGTTGCCGAGAAGCTGTTCGAGCAATGGCTTTCGCTTCCCGAAACCACTCTCTTGGTAATTATTATAATTTAATTTTCTATTTGACGTAAAACGGGTTCTCTTGTGATTTTCCATTTCGATTTTTCATCTTTTCTTTATCATCAATTATTGCCAACAACAAGGTGACAAAATGATAGCTGATAATTGGTTAATTTTAATGCCATTATAGCTGTAGTTTCTTTGGTCTAAATTGGAATTTATCCTATTTTACGTTTGGTGTTGAAGTAATGGTGGCTGATGTGTTTCTTGATCAGTTTATTTATTTCATCCAACAAGGTAACATCAAAAAGCAAAATAATATATTATTACCTATAAATATATAAAAGCTTCTTTTGTCATTTACACATTGGTGAATATATCCATTGTTCATGGTTAATGGTGGATAATGATGATATGTTGTATGGTAAATTGTAGAATCTTTAGGGAGTAATAAACTGTCATTTCTTGTCATTTTCATCTCTGCTATTTGAAATAGTATGCTTAACAAAAGTAGAAGGTAAAGTAAAAGACAATCTTTTCTCAACTATTTTTGATAAACATGGTTTTTGTTATAATAACATATGCTTTGGGATTTCTTGAATCATTGATTCTTGTTTCCTTATGTTTCTATGTGACTTTCTTAACTATTATTCATGACTTTGTGTATTGTTGTTGATTCTTGTTTACATGATAAGCATTTTTGTGATCTTACCAATTCCCCATTGAAGGTTGTTACATTTTCCACTTTTGCCCTTTTGGATATAGGTGAAGTCTTTGGTAAGCAAGGCTAAATCAGGGCTTACATTGAATGTATCTGCAGCAAGTTCAAGCCCTAAATCTGCTTGTAGCAACTCTGTGCCTCCACTTTCACCAAGAAGCTCTTCTGGTTCGCCACGTGTCACAAAACAAAGGGCGGGCCCCTCTGTTTTAGGTTCTCCTTTGAAAGTAGTCAGCGAGCCAGTCAAAGAGTTCATACCTCAGGTAGATTTTTCTTTTTTATTTTGTTTGTCAAATGATTTCTAACTTCTAGAATGTTCTAGATTCATTTAACTCAACTGAAAATTGTTGTTGGAATTGTAGTTTTATTTTCAGAATGGACGCCCACCCCCTAATGATTTGAAAGATAAATGTTTGACTAGAACCAATCAGTTCTTTTATGGTCATGCTAATGGATTATCATTGGATGGTAAGTTTTTATTTTTTACTTTTTACTTTAAATGAAATTATTTTGATAAATTTTTGTTTGGATTAATAGAATTTAAGCCTGTTACAAAGGAAATATGCATGCTGCCATCATTCTTTTCCTCCACTCTTTTTAAAAAGATTGATGTTGCCAGCACTGGCACTGTAACCAGGTGAATTTTTTATTATTTTTTAATTTTTGTTACTTTTGGAATATTATATTTATATGATTTACTTTTGGAACATTATATTTATATGGTTTCAGGGATGCATTTGTGGATTATTGGATTAATGGCAACATGCTGACAAAAGACACTGCAACTCAGATTTATACATTACTAAAGCAGCCTGATTTGAGATATCTAACTCAGGCAATTTTCGTTTCAAATTGGTCTTCTTCTTTTTTTTTTTTAAATAAATAATGAGTTTTTTTTTTAAGGAAAATAAAATTTGCCCAACATTTGACTTGTCAACTATGCAATAGGAGGATTTCAAGCCCATACTTCGAGAACTTTTGGCAACTCATCCAGGGTTGGAATTTTTACAGAGCACACCTGAATTTCAAGAGAGATATGGTATATAATATATTTTTATTACAATACTTTTTAACATATTCTTATTATTTTTTTTAACATATTATTATTATTATGGGCAGCTGAAACGGTAATATACAGAATTTTTTACTATGAGAATAGAGTGGGAAATGGGCGTCTTACCCTCAGGGAACTGAAGAGAGGAAAATTAATTGCTGCAATGATGCATGCTGATGAAGAAGAGGACATAAACAAAGTTTTGAGGTGAAATAGAAATATTTCTCACTTTTTTTTTATGAAAAATCAGAATAAGAAAGGTGTTTGTTTATAAAGTAAAGGGTATAATTGTCTTTTGGGACAGGTTCTTCTCTTATGAACACTTCTATGTAATATATTGCAAGTTCTGGGAGCTGGATACAGATCATGATTTCTTGATTGATAAAGAGAACCTTATCAGATATGGCAACCATGCTTTAACCTACAGGATTGTTGACCGAATATTCTCTCAGGTTTCTTTCCAACATTTTTATTCAAAAAAAAAAAAAAATCTAAATTTTCATATATTTCTTCTTGATCAAATTCTATCCTTCTTAGGTTCCAAGAAAGTTCACGAGTGAAGTCGAGGGTAAAATGGGATATGAAGATTTTGTTTACTTTATTTTATCTGAAGAGGATAAATCATCTGAGCCTAGTCTTGAATACTGGTATGACTCCTTTCTCTACCTTTTATTTTGTGCAAATTTTTAACATCTTTTTTGGTTGCTGTAAATAAATTAAATTTGTTTATTCAGGTTTAAGTGCATAGATTTGGATGGAAATGGGGTGCTGACTAGGAATGAATTACAGTTCTTCTATGAAGAACAGTTGCATAGGATGGAATGCATGGCTCAAGAGCCTGTTCTTTTTGAGGACGTTTTATGTCAAATAGTTGACATGATTAAACCACAGGTACTCTTTATTTTATACCATCATTTTAGTTTTCTTTTTAACTATATATAATTTATTATTTACAGGAAGAGGCTTATTTTACATTACAAGACTTGAAAGGAAGCAAGCTCTCTGGAAGCACTTTCAATATCCTCTTTAACCTTAATAAGTTCATGGCCTTTGAATCCCGTGACCCCTTTCTCATTCGCCAGGTAAGCCATCCCATTGCAAAGTAATATCACAAAGTAACAAGGGTAAAAATGTAAATAACATCATTTTCAAAACAGGAACGTGAGAATCCAACATTGACTGAGTGGGACCGGTTTGCACATCGGGAATATATAAGGCTTTCAATGGAGGAAGATGCAGATGATGCATCTAATGGTAGTGGGGATGTATGGGATGAGTCTCTTGAGGCCCCATTTTGACTTCAATTCCAAACACTACTACTCATTCAGGTAAGATTATTCAAAAAACTACGGAATGGAATTGACATTCCATTACCATTACCATGTTTGGTTGGCCTCTAGTATTGTAATTTCATTCCATTCCTTCCCTGATTCCATCATATTTTTTGGTGCAGGAGAAGATTTATAAGTTAACTCGGGTTGTAGTAAGTAAATGGGGTTTTCTAAAAGGGGTTAGTTACTACTTACTACACCATAACACGAAATTGACTCGAGTATTTTTGCAACTTTTATTTTTAAGCATTTATTTTTTTTTCGTTTTAATTAGTTTGTTTCTTGCTTGAACAATAGATGTTTTTTTTATTTTTTATGCGGTTATAAAATTTGATCAACATTTTCTCAATGGGGATAGCAGCTTGTTTTTCAATGTATGTTACTATTGAATTTTATGTATGTAATATCACGGGTTCGTGTGTGCGTATGCTATGCTCCATTTTTCTCTTAATTGTTAAATGAGTTAATTATTATTATTATTATTTTTTTATCTTATTATTCTTGTGATCATGAATGCTAGTTATATAGCTACTCATGTGAGACATCATTGATAAATTGCACAAAACTGTTCCAACTTGCAAATTTCATTGATATCGTGTAAGACAATATATTAGTGTGGAATGTCATATAACTGTTTCCCAAATTACAAATGTGTAGTTTGCAAAATTATTTTCAACTAGGTATTCGTCAAACCAAGAGTTGCCATTAGGTAAAAATCAGCCACAAGGGAGTTGTAGCCCAATGAAGTGCAACAAGTAGTCTAGATAATCGTCTCACTAGAGGGTGAAACTTGGTCTTAGCGACATAGTTGCCTTGAAAAGAACCTCACGTGTCAGTTCTTACCTATGATTTTGCCTTTAGTTAGAAGATGGACGAAAGGCCAATCTTTCATGCATGTTAACATTTCCCAAAAAGTAAGTACTCTTTCCAACATTTTTGAAGAAAATGTTGTTAAACTGTAACGCCCGCGTTTCCAGGCTAGACATTATTATTGATGTAATAAGTCTAGGATAACCTTTGTAACTCTTTTGAAGTATTAATGATGAAATATTTGAGTATTATTTGTTTTATGCTTAGTTGTGTGGTTTAATTGAATTAAGAATAAAATAAGCGTCAAAATTAAAGTGTGAGATAAACCCGATATCTTTACATAAATGTAGTGGTTGAAACAAGGATTTCGGAGATATAAAAAACGCCGAAATCCGAGTTATAACGAAGAAGTTATGACCTGTCGAATTTTCGCGACAGAACCGGCTCGACGCTGAATGACGTAAAATATGAATTTAAGATAGAGCGATATCTAGCCTTAGTGATCTAAACGGAAG